CGGCACCGACTGCGTCGCGGCGCTGTAACCACCACCAATAAACAGATGCCACTGCCGCGTTGCCTCGGCTCCTGCTCTGCTCCTGCTCCGGGGGGCTGGGGGTCGGACGCCTCTTGGGACTTCCAGCGGCTTCGGGACCCAGGAGCGGGATGGGACGGGGCTGGGGGCGCCCGGCAGATCATCCGGGGCGTGGCCACGGGGCGGGCGTGGTCGGTGGGCGTGTCCTGGTGGGTGGGGTCTCGGCCACCCCACGGCCCCGTCCTCATCCCGGCGGACACCAGACCGGTGAAGCCTGAGTCGGATCCGAGCGCATTGCAGCTCAGACTTCCCGGGCCGCTCGGTCCGGACCGGCGATGGCGTCACCGCTGCCACTGCTCTGGCTCTATATCGCTGCCGTCTGGCACCCGGCGGGGGCCCGAGGTGAGGCTGTCCCGGGGAAAGAGGCCCGAGAGTCCACGCGCTTCCCGGGAATTGGGTCCCCTCCGACGGCCCGGGGTGCGAAGGTGGAGCCACGGAGCTCGGGGCCTCCGCAGGGCCAGGCAGGGACCGCGGCAGTTCGTCCCCCCGGGAAGACCGCAGGGGCGGCGGCACCGGGGTGTTGACAACTCGAGGTTTCCCTGGGTTCCGGAGGCGTTTGACCCAGCCCGATGTGGAGACCCCGAATTGCCAGGTCTCCCGCCCGGGGTCAGGGCCGTCCCATTCCACCAGCTCCCACGCACCCGCGACACCCCGCGACGGCCCATTCCGCTGAGGAGAAAGGCACTGGGCGGAGGTTGTCGCCCAGCCCAGAGTCCCTGGGAGCGAGCCGGACCGCAGGACTTCTTAGGGGCAGCCTGGGCCGGGCAGAAGCAGGGAAGGGCGGGCTGCGGGAGGGCTCCAGCGCCAGGTGGACGGAGCAGACGCAGAGCCGATTAGACTTGACAGGCTTGGGCCCGCTGTACACCCCAAACAGGAGAGCCGGGCGTGGGCACAGCGGGGACACGGAGTCTCCCAGCCCATGGCAGTGGGTCTGAGAGCGGCACGGGGCTGCGGAAGCCTGGGGCCGGCAGGGGCCTGAGAGCTTCAGTTTCCTCTCCTGTCAAGTGGGGGCGACCTTGGCCTCCTTCCTGCACCAGAGCGGGTCACAGCCGTCCCCGTCATCCCGCTTCTGTCCCCCCACTTCCCGCCCCTCCTGCAGATGCTCAGGAGCCCACACCAGCTGCCCGGAGCCTGCAGGGACGCACGCTGCAGCCCGGACAGCCTTCGCCGGCCCTGGAGGCCTGGGAAGGTCGGTGAGCCGGGGCGGGGTCCCCTCTCCGCTGCGGCTTGGCAGGACCTCGGAGGGGTGTGGGGCTAGGTGCG